TGCTTTGAATACCTCAACTGTGGTCTGTGGTCTCACAGAACAAAATAATAGTGTGAGAACAATCCAAAAGTTTTTAATACAAATGTTTAATAAAATTTGATTATGTTTTCGTAAGTCTACGATAACATACAGTAAGAAGTTGTACTGTTTTTTTTAGGAAAATTACATAGAAATCAAGATACTATGCCTATCTTACCTTAAAAGTATATTTACCATTTTATGATCATATTTCTCACAGCGTACCCTTCAATGTTGGGGTTTTACAGCGTATCAAAAAGACATCCGCTTAAACTTTTCTCACGGCAGATACTCATATCTCGGATTGACGTTTCTCACGACTTATGGCAAACACTATTATAAACTATGCAGATATACAGCTTTGGTCTACTGCTTCCCTGTAAATGTTTCTTTTTGAGGAATATTCCAGCCTTTCTTTCTAATTAACAAGATTCTATTAGTCCTACTGAAATGTGGTGTGAAATTTCACCAAAAACTACTTCATTGGGAACGAATCACACACATATACATCTGACATCGCCGTGTCATGGACGGATGACTAGACCGTAACAACCGTTGGCAATAAGCACCAAAAATGAGATCACTTTATCAGGTAGCTACTGATAAAAGATGGGAAAAATAGCATCGGACTAGAAAAATGTTCACAGAAAAAATTAAAAACTCGAATTGCACGCACGACAACGTCCTTAAAGTGGACACCGAGATCAAGAATTACTAATCGACTGCTCGCAAAATTTGAAATGAAAAAAAAAAGTTCTACAGTGCAAATCACAATTCAGCACTTGGTGCATCCACATACATAAATTACCAGAAAATAATTTTGTAACAACCCGATTCTTAAAACTCTGATATGCAAATTACTTTATATTTTACTTAGATGTTCATTACCATGAACAGAATAATCCTTTACCACACATACATACTTTGCTCCTCTTGAAGATAAGACTATTTCTTCTTAATGTTTTTACACACCCATTCCATACCATCCTGGAAATAAAGTAAAATAAATTTATGAGCGCGGATTGTTCGAAACAGAGAACATGTTGGTTATTCATTTATTTACTGAAGTTAAGCAGCATGAAATACGTATATGGTAAAAAGTACACGCCATGTAGGTCGTTTGGGGGGAGCGGAGGTATAGCTCCTACTCTTTCTTGACCTCGGCACTAGATAGGGGGTGAGCGGTCAGCATCACGCCCCGGCCGCGCTTTACCCCCGGGGGGAAAGGACCCCGGTACCCATTGTGGAGGAGGCTGGGTGGGCCCCAGAGCCGGTCTGGCCGCAGAGGCTAGAGGAAAAATCCTCTGCCCCCGTCGGGGATCGAACCCCGGTCGTCCAGCCCGTAGCTAGTCACTGTACCGACTGAGCTATCCCGGCTCCTATATGTATATGGCATTATGACTATAAATGGTGGTTAAGGAAGTATGTGAGAGGAAACAAATGTAACTTTCTATATAAATATATATATATATAAAGCATTATCCCACCATTTACTCAGTGAAAATGAGCAACCCCACAGAAAAGTTTAGGTTAGCCAGTTACTAAATGGGATATAACAAGGAAATCACACGTTATCACTGTATCAACCTGTCACTTCATGCAAACTATTTCATATTAACTATTTTGGTCTTCCAAGAGCCATCCAAATAAAATCCTTGTTTCTTCTGACAATGCTGTGTGCTCAGTATACTGCAACATCATTGATCTACGAGTAATTACCCGAAAAATACCAAGAAATAGAATATTATCATGAAGACACTAACCTTAACTCCTTCACCTGCAGTTGCAGAACATGCCTGTATCTGCCATGGACGATCCTTAATAGTATGGAGTCCGAGTCCCTCGGCAATATCTGACGCCGGCGCTGCATGCAATAGGTCTTGTTTGTTTGCATAAACTAACAGTGGGACGTTAGCTAACTTGTCCTCCATCAACAACTCTTCTAGTTCATGACCTGTTTCTTCTAGACGCTTACGATCAGCACTGTCAATCACATATATCTAAAAAAAGATATAAATAGGGAGTTCATAGAAATAACTGAGCAAAAGCATAATAAAACACTGGTAATACCAAAGCCTACGATCGAACATTATCCTCAGACAATTCTATCAACCTCTGATCCCCACAACATTTTTTGTCACCCTCCATGTTTCCCACCAAAATTCTATAAGCCTTACTTGATTTCCATTTTTTCTACATGCCTACGCCATCATAGCCTTTATTGTTTCACTATGCTAACAATACAACACACCTTGGAAATATCACAAAGGTCTTCAATATAAAATAATGTTTCCAACAAAATTCTTTATGCATGGTCTATTATTAATTTATATAAACTAAGTAAATAATCTTTTGCTATACTTACAAGGACATCTGTATTTTCGAAATAATTCCTCCAATATGGTCGTATTTTTCTTTGGCCACCAATGTCCCACACATTTAACTTAAAGCCTTCAGACTGTACAGATTTTATATTAAAACCTTGTGTTGGTGTGATATGGGTGATATCTTCTGAAGCTAGTTTCTTCAACAGTGTAGTTTTCCCAGCATTATCCAGACCTAGCAACAACAGCCGCAGTTCTTTGTCTGGCTGAGATTTCAGCTTACGAAGAATTGATAGCAGACCCTGTATTTATAATTATGAAACAACTTCACAATTCAGCAACTATGTATAGGCCTACTTACAATATGGCATTAGACTTAACCCTTAACCAACAAAGTGCAGTCTGTGTGACCACAGCAGAAACAATATCTGATTTATTATGAGGAATACGGCTTGCTATACCTCTACTCACATTTCCCTTCCTTCCTTGGTCGTTCAATGCCATTTCTATTGTGAAATTCATTTTGGGAGACTGCAGATCACCAATAATATGACTTTTTTTCAAATCAACTGCTATTGTCTGTACCATGAGTAGGCATGCAGAAGGTTACACCTTGTGATCCCAATTTTGAAGAAGGTCTGAGTAATGTTGAAAGGAAATGTGCAACTGGAAATGAACCATTGGAATGTGATGAGGCAGTGATAAAATCAAGTTTACCCACTGCAGATTAATAAAAATATTTTATCCTACCCAGCCCTCCTTAACCTATCAATGAATTTCGATTTAATTTGAAGGTTATTAGTCTTAAACAAACCATGAAACTTAAGGCAACTGCTACCAGTATTGCAAAGATTTACAAGAACTGCAATATGTTTACCACATAATGGAACCACTGTGAAAGAACAAGAATAACAACAGATTGTGTTCTGAAGTTTCAACGCCCTAAAAATTTCAAATCTCAAAAGATCATGACTTTAACAGTTTCAAACATAACCCATCAACACCAATTAGAGACTTAAAATAATATACATTCATAAATAAAACATCGATTAGAATCCTACGATAAAATATATTACCATTTTACTTTAAAATCTTCACGAATTATAAAAATACTGTTGTAAAAATCTTGGGAAAGAAATAAAATTTTAAATCACAACTTCACTGCACTGTAGACTGCCATTTAGCATACAACTATGCAGTTCAGGGCCGCCAACATTAAATTATGAATCCTCCTGCAATAAGTATTGATAAATAATGTAATATTTTAATAATTAAAGCCATTTTCAAAATAAAGATCCTTAAATACATATAAAGCAATAATATAGATACATTATTACCTACCTTTAAAAGGTTAAATGTAAACGGTAATTTCACTTGTTTTATACAATGGCGGGAATATTTGAAAGAACTCAAGCTCCACCTTAATACATGTCAAGCCGAGGGTAAACTCGAGGCAGGGCTAAAAATTTTTCAAATAGTATTCTACGGACTTAACTGCCAATATTTTACTTTAGTGTCAAAATAACTAATGTACTACAAATGCATCGTTGCCCCAAGATGATACAATATCTTTGTGAGCAAAACTTATTTCTACCATAGTTATGCTTTAACATTTAAAATCCTTTAGGTATTCACTTACAGAACTGTCCTCACACACATAAGATGTAAGGGGGAAGAGAAGAAAAGGATTACAAAAAATACAAAAAGATTACGGTAATGTTCAAATTAAACAACACAGTATGTCATGGCTAAATCAAACACATTTACTATTATGTATTTCTTAGCAAACAGCAAACAAACTTGAGCACTAAATAATATTGCACTTTGTAACAGTAAAGAATCTTTAAAACTGGTGTTAGTAAAATATATCTAAATGCAGATCTTGGAAGAATTTAAAAATCAAAATAGGATAAATATTGAGTCAACACTATATTTCCTTGATTTTAAGATGACATTAATTCTAAGAAACCCTTGATTTGATAACAGGCTTTCAGGGAAAAGAGTCACTATATCGATTTTTTGATGCCACCAAATGTAAGGTGCACCTCGATTTCAGAAATGTTAAAATGTGAAAAGAGTGGTTCTTAAAACTGAGAAAATATGGTGATTTTGGTATTATAGCAAATATGTGGATCACAATGTACTGTCACACAGTCCTTCTAGATATTAGAAAATACAACCTTGTATGGTCCAAACACTGAAACCTGAAAAAATTGTAAGACCTGCAGAAAGTTACAGAATATTTTGACTTGGGGTCACAAGAACAAAATTATATCACTGGCTCAGATGCAGATATGAGATTGACAGGTCTGTGCTAAGCCAGTGGCTCCTGAAAGAACCCATTCCATTAAAAATTATCATACTGATATGTGAATCTCTATTATAAAGTACAATTTTACAGACAATTCTTTCCCTTAAAATTTCTTGTCCTTCCAGATATGTACTTAAAGTGAAATTTTTTTATACACATAAATGTCTGCATAATGCTTCACTAATAATTTCCCTTCCACAAGGAAATAAATTCAGAATAACTTTATGACTTACCAAAGAATCAAATAAAAATCTAAAACCATAACAAATACAGCAACACCATTCATATTACCTGCTTTTCATTAACTTATTCAACAATAATGCCAACATATGAAAGACCATTACTCATCTGTTTTTGGAACATGCTTACACATTTCATATACTCCCAATGGATGTAAAAACCATGGTTTTGAAACTGGTCTTCTAGGTTTTTCAACATTTCTGAGTTTGCACAACTTATTACCTGCTTGGCCCATGAAATTTCTCATCCCTCTCATAAAACACCAAACTAAGCAAAATTAAATTTATACCATGTAGCAGAGTCCTTGAGTACCTGAAAGTCACTTAGATAACCTGTAAGTTCCATGTCTTTTATGGAACAGCAATGTTCATTATTGTGTATGATCTAAAGCTTTCATAACCATTTTCACAACAGCACCTGATTTTGTACATTTAATTTATTTCTTCACTAGCACTAAATAAGATGTCAGATTCAAGGAATATGAAACATAAATACAGGTTGTGTGCAAGTATTAATTCCTCAGTAGTGGCTGAAATAAAAAATAATTAATATAAAGTACAACTACATTACTTTCCTATTTATCCGGTATCAGAGATATGGCAGCTCAGTAAGGCTCACACCTTTTTAGAATTTACTTCAATATAAACATTCTACAACAATAATAATCAGGTAAATTTCATCAAAATTCATAACATGTGTAAAGTAATTTTAAATCTGTGATGTTCCTCATAACCTCACTCTCTCACTTAACATAGAAGATTGATTAAGAAATTACCTGTGTAGATTGAGCAATAAGCTTATCCAAATTTATAAGTCAACTTTGAAGAAAGAACTTTTCTAACTACACATGAGCAAGGATAAGCTCTTCCAAGATTGCCTCAAAGATACACAGAAAAAAAAAATCACCATTGTCTTTGACATTCTTAAATGTACTCCAGCTATTTCCCTTTGGAATTGGAATCAGTACTTTGTTAACTGCTGGTGAAGGATTTTGAAGTTGCTTTTCTTGAATGTAAAACCACGTAGATTTTTAAATATCAGTGTATTCCTACAAGTCCACATTGTGTTACAACCCAGAAGACCAACAATAAGAGCTTTACTGCCAAGAGAATATAACCAAGAAACCGTGTTGTGCTAGTCCTACCAATATGATAATTCATGTGTGATTCATATACACATTGAGAGACAAAATTACCAAGATCATCTGTGAAGTTGACAAATTTTACCAGAGATACTTAACAAAGATAATATTTCAAAATGCTGTTAAGTATTTCAGATTATATAATGTTGAGTGATTGGATGATTAGTAGATACTTATATAAAATGTCTTTCTTATTTTGATGTATGAAGTGGGAATTTAAAAACAGACTAAGAGAATTTTTAAGGAATAAGAATCAAAGAATAAAACCAGAGCTTTAGACAACATATGAAAGTATAACCTCATCATCAAGAGCCTCATACATTAGATTATTTTAATGGCTTTTCCAGTTCCAAACACAGAATATTTCAATGTGAAAGTAGAAAAACTACAAACAAAATGTCAGATTACAACTAGAGTGGAACAAATACATCACATAATGGAAGGCAGTGAAGAAGATAAATGAAAAAGAGTAGAGACAGGGAAGGCTATGATTCACGCTACTGGAAATAACAACGGATGATGATAGTTTGACCATACAAAATATTTCACTTTAAAATTTTTTAACTTATCTTGGGCAAATAAGTCTCTTTTGTGTCAGTATTTTTTTTTTTATAGAAGTACTGGAAATTCTTATTTAGCACGGAGCATTAAAATCAAATGATTATACCAGATTACATTATTATTTCATCACATAAACAGACAAAAATTTGGTGATTTTCAATTTATGCGTGTCTGGGGCCATTCTTTTGATTACGTAAGCTTAATTTTTCCATCTCTTACCTCATCAGACCTTACTTGTTTTTTGTTTTTTTCCAAGTTACCAGTGTTCCTACCAAGCACGCTGAATTAGTCCCTGATTTCTGTTTTAACCTTTTCTAAACTTTAGTATCAAGAGACTGCTAATCAGGAACACCATAATCCAGACACCTGTTGCTATGAAACCATAGTAAACTACTGGTTGTGAAATTTCCCATCCTCGGGCCAAGATCGCACGCAGAGATTCTGTCGCGAAGGTGAGGGGCAAGACGAAGCTGAAGTATGTGAGTACGTAATGCATCCCCTCAATTGGCCAGCAGATGCCTGAGGACGACAGTAAATAGACTTCAGACAAAAATCAATAATCTACACCAAATAATATTAGGGAGATACAAACTTTTAATTGAAAAACCAAAACGACAGAGGCCACTTGACAGAACTAGGTGTAGATGGAAAAGTATATTACAGTACAGAGTCCGAGTATCTTTAGATTTGTTCCTATGAATCAATTAGTCATTAGAACAGCAAGTCAATTTGGTGCCAAAATAAACGAGAGGCAGTGTGCCTGTTGCTGGAAGATTTTACTCACCACACAACATAAGAATCGGCAGAAAGCTTCCCATTCCAAAGTACGTTGCAGTTAACTCAGTGTCACACAGGCTGGACACAACGAATCCTGAGAACAGAAAACAAAAGTGCTGTTGTCTTGGAAATGAATTTGTAGAAAAGGTAAAATAAATTGAGGCTGTCCCATGCCGAAGCGTCACAAGGCGAGGTGCATAAGGTGGTACTGAGGAAAAGCTCCACTCGTTCTTAACTTCAGGACTAATGTTCATATTCATACTCCACTGGACTAAAAGATGGGTGGTCCTCAGAGGGACTTCAGCGATGAGAACAAAAATCCCTTTTTCAACGAGGAGTCAAATCCTAACCGCCTCGACAATAACAACCAATTTTGTGCGAGATGGGTACTTACCAAAACACATACCGCACAACCCATTTAGCATTGTCAGAATGATGACCCACAAGAGAGAGCCAACACAGAGAATGTCAAAGATGGCGAACGAGAAGACAAGAACCATTATAGTCTGTATCGTCATCACAACGCACTGTGTTATTACATGTGAGAACAGGATCTCAGGTGGAGTTACACCTGCAAACAAAACAAAAAAAAAAACTTTAATGACCAGAAAGCGAGAACGTACTGATACCAACATGAATGGACGAGAACTGAATTTCATTACAAACAGTAAACAGCATCATGTGATACAGAACATACACACAATTTGCTCAAGACGTAAAGACAACAAATGTCTGAAACAAAGAAACAAATCTGTCGTCATGATTATCGGTAGATATTTTCAATTTTCCTGCATTTAATCCTTTCATAGCCACATCTGTCCCTAAACAGCATACACTCCCACGTCAGGACGTACAGCAAATTAAAATCATTACGTTTATGCTCACGTTATAGCTACTTAAATCTCAGAGCAGTATTTTTCGCAGGTTATGGGCTAAAAGGTACCCGAAGGAATGAAAATTTCCCACACTACCCACTAAGTTAAAAATTAGATAAATAAAATAAAAAATATTCTGAATATGTATAATGCAATGTTTTTTTGGGAAAAGAAACTTATTATACTGATGAATATCTCAAACTGGTTGTTTAAAATATAGCCATAAGACGTCGTAATATACTGCCATAATTATCTCTCTGATCCGTGGCACAGGAGAAGCAAAGTTACTCACCCAAGACCAAACACCTCTCTTGCATCCCTTCCTTTCGCTCCATGATCATGGAACTAGCAGTCAGCGCAAGTGAGAGGAAGAAAATTATACTGTAGAACAAAGTAATACCATCAATATCTTTAAGATTTTGCCCACTCCGATGAAAAATCTCACAACTTTATTCTTTGACAGAAGGCAGCAGATAAAATTGAATATAGTAGTCGGGGAAAGATATATTTTTATACAATATTTTCTTATAAAATTTCATAATGAACAAATACCCCATATTTGTACTGCCAAGTAAAACGACAAGCATAAAAAAATTGATGCAAGAGACTCGATTCCAGAAAATAAAACAAATTAAAATGTTATGACCGCAGTGCAATTGTATAAATATTAAATATGCCCTAAAATATTGTTGATACGCTTAGATCTTTAATGTTGCATGTCAAAAGCACAGCTTTTCAAAGTTATAACCAAATATATTCACAATATTGTCGTCTCAGATCGCGAAGTAAGAATGCAGTAACGGAGGTGGTTTTCAGAACTGGTGGTCGCCAGACACCGCTTCTAGATCGACAAAAGATTCTTAAATCTGAATTTAATCTCCTCTTACTTCATTCATGGACGCAATCTTTATCTTTTAGTCATTCCCATATATTTGAACTTCAGAACTGATTATGTACGTTCATATCATGAATCTGTCCTGTAAGTCTTTTTGACGATACATGAACACGTACTTAATTCCCCCTTCATCTGTTACCAGACAAACTTCCTTAATAGCATCAAATAGAGTTTCTGTGTTTGTTTTTTTATCCTACTAATTAACAAAAGCACAGATCAGAAGCTGATGCTTCAAGTCATACTAACGTTAGGATAACTCCTGGAGCGGCGAAGTTGGTGAAGTCTGGTATCTGATCACCATAAACTGGTGTTTCAAACTGTAAAGGAAAATGGAATGTAAACAGACTTGTTGGCAACATTCTGCTCTTGTGTATTTTTCTTAATTCAATTAAATTTAAATTTATAATTCTATTTTCTGTAAAACTGTTGATTTAGAAGTTGATATTGATTTTAATTTATATTAAGCAGTGTAACCAATTTAATTACTACATCACTTTTGGGTTTAAGACACAAAGCAAAATGTATCTTATCACAAAATTAATTTAACTATCTCTGCATTTGTTCACGAGGCTCTGGTAACTAGCACAGAAATTATATTTGTAATAACATAAGTACCACAACTTAATTCCAAAACCTCATCACGGCAATATTAAATCTGCAGGTGAAGAATACCAAATACCCAAATTATGGTTAAGCGAGTTTAATTTTACTTCTGAAATCCAGGTTCAATACATTTACCAGGTAAAAGTGACAAATTAATTGATTTTGAACTCAACGTCCACACATTTAAGTAAATATAACGACCTTGCGTAAACTTCGTAATGAATAAAATGCGATATGCCGAAATGCTGTTATTCTTCCTAAAAGTGTTATGTTTGGTAATGCTTCAAACTAAATGCGTCACAGATGACAAATCTCTTAAGACCTCGCACACTCAAAGTATGTCTTCCCCGCCTTCTGGTTTCATACAAACCAAATAAAACAGTAACTTGCTTACTTACTCTAATAGGAACGTCTGCTGCTTTAGGGTTAATGCCACAAGACTCAAAAAGTTTCTGTGCAAAACTTATATACGAAATGAACAGATCCCGGCTCAGGAGGTACCCAATGTGTTGATCTGGAAAAGACAGATATAATTCAACAAATGACAATAACATTTGACCAAAATTCATTTGCAGGATATTCCATTTAAAATGCAAAACTAACCATAACCTTACTTCTAAGCTCTGACAAGATCGATACAAAAACACAAACAAGTTGTGTTTTACTTTGTTTAAAACGGGGAACTAGTTTAATTGACTATGAAACCGGGTAAATAAAAGTAGTACTCACTGGACATATCCATCTGCACCATCACACTGCTCTGATTGACGACAAGATCCGAAGCCGAACGTGCGTTCTCCATCCTCTCCTTTAGGTTGTGTGAGTAGTCAGAGCTGAAGTGCAGAGCCCCCCATGCCCTACCTCTCCGCACAGCCTCCACGGCCTCATCTTCAAATTCAAACCGATCCTGTTTTACAAATAAATTTGGTCAGAAAATGATTTTCTCTGCATTCTGACGATGGAGGTAACAAGAACCTTGAAAAAATCAGGGCACTGCTGAGACAGCGTGGCAAGACATCCGAAGAACGGCCACCTTAATCTTAATACTCACTGCTGTACGAACCTGAAGTCTTGTAAACTCAGTCGATATCGCCATCATTGTATGTCCTAGTATTAGACCCCAATTTTCTAATTACAGATATTATAAGCAGCTTCTTTTTCTCTTTATATTTTGTAATTATTTTGATGAACCCTGTTACAGCGCATTTCTCAAATTGCTTCTGCAGTAATCTATAAAATTTTTTACATGTTTACAGCGCATTTCTCAAATTGCTTCTGCGGTAATCTATAAAAATTTGTTACATGTTAAAAATTGTAAAATTTTACTGCTGTAAAAATAAATGTAATGATGTTCTTCAGCTGATATTAATCTTCACTCAACAGATTTCCTTCACAGCCCACATTTTGTTGAAATATGAAAATAATGACGCACTAAGTGCTTCATAAATTTTTGCATAATCTTGTATGTTGATACTAGTGGTGACTTGAAAATATAATTTATAACAGTAAATAGCCAGGAGGACTTGCAGGTACTAATGTTTTAGAGGAACATACCACCTCCATCATCAGTTTACCTACAAGTCCAATTCCACTTTTATGAATTGTGTGCACCGGGTATTGGTTGGGAAGCCTGAAGGAAAGAGACATTTGGAGAGACCTAGACGTAGATGGGAGGATAATTTCAGGCGGGATCTATGGGAGATAGGAGTTGGAGGAGACTGGATTTTGTTGGTCCAGGACAGGGCTTTGGTTAATTCGGTGATGAACCTTTGGGTTCGGTAAGCCATCTGGTTGGTTGGGTCCACTATTTGGGAAGCCTGAGGGGAAGAGATCGCTGGGGAGACCTAGACGTAGATGGGAGGATAATGTCAGGCGGGATCTATGGGAGATAGGAGTTGAAGGAGACTGGATTTTGTTGGTCCAGGACAGGGCTTTGGTTAATGCGGTGATGAACCTTAGGGTTCCCTAAGCCATCTAGTTGGTTGGGTCCACTATTTGGGAAGCCCGAGGGGAAGAGACAACTGGAGAGACCTAGACGTAGATGGGAGGATAATCTCAGGCGGGATCTATGGGAGATAGGAGTTGAAGGAGACTGGATTTTGTTGGTCCAGGACAGGGCTTTGGTTAATTCGGTGATGAACCTTAGGGTTCCCTAAGCCATCTAGTTGGTTGGGTCCACTATTTGGGAAGCCCGAGGGGAAGAGACAGCTGGAGAGACCTAGACGTAGATGGGAGGATAATATCAGGCGGGATCTATGGGAGATAGGAGTTGAAGGAGACTGGATTTTGTTGGTCCAAGACAGGGCTTTGGTTAATTCGGTGATGAACCTTCAGGTTCGGTAAGCCATCTAGTTAGTTAGTTCTTCTATATCAACGCTCACCAAAATTATTTCCCTTGACATTATAGAATCCAGGTATTGACAGCTCAGAAGACTGTAGTTGCATCCGTCCATAGGCATGCAGGCTGTCGTGAAGTTCAGCTCATCGTTCACATAAGCCAGATGAAGGCCCTTAGGATCTCGACCAATTGTCCAGCAGAACAGAATTATTTGCACCACTGGCAGTCCAATGATGAACAGCATTATACTACAAAGAGAATTAAACAGTGATTAGTTCTACAAATTTTAAAATCTCCCAAAACACTTTTATGCAGAATTTAGATATTTTTGATTGATGCATGCAGAAGTATTTCCCCCCCGGTGAGCATACTCACGGAACGTTCCTCCACATCCATAAGAAATCCTTCCATACGACAGCCTTCATTCTGTGTGGGGACAGAAACTTGAGATAATCCATCAGGCCCCATTTCTCCCCTTCATCAGGAGGCAGATCTGATTCACTCTGTGAATCAGACAGCACGAATACAGATTCAAATTTTGCTCATACCATCCTCCTCTCTGCAAGAGAAGCTGACGCCAAGAGTAAAATCCCGTTACAGCAATTCACAGACACGGCGTTGTGTTAAAGAGTGCAACCATTTTGTTTTGTACAAATTCTAAAGACACACCAAAACAAAAAAATATTTTACACTACTGATTAATTGGTTCTAAGATCACTTAATTATTCCGTATAAAGAGCAATGATTTTACGGCCCTGAATGAGAGGGAAATATCATCATGAATAATAAGAATCTTGAATGAATCAGAGTTTATTTCAAAATACTATCACAGAAATGTATTATATTCCCATAAATTTTGTGTTTTTTTGGTGTTTCATTATACGTAATCGCCATGAAAGCTTTAGATCACAAATTAATACATCCACTTTTTATACTATTAAGTAATGAACGTGGTATATATAGTATTTATAATTACTGCTTGTCAATAAACAGTCTTACCAGGATTTATGCCTAAAATATTGAGATGTTGAAACACAAAATTAATTCTTATTACGCTTTGATCATACTTGTTTAACAACCATACAGCAATTTTAATGTGCATTGTGAATAATAGTCATAGCATGAGAATTATTTCTATGTCCTTGATTAAATTCACTTTATTTTTAAAACAAGAATATTATTGATTTGTACCCGCCTTTAACAAGGCTAAAAACATTAAATTAACATTAAATTAACGTAAAATACGCTTCTAGAAAAACATTCGTTCAACCATTGAAAATAACACTTTAATGGTAACACGGACAACGAAATGAATACGATGTGTTAAGGATATATAACAATTTTTATTATTTATTCTACTAATTTATAATTCAAATACTATTTATGGGCCTCGATGGCAACTGCGAACATGGTCACACTTAAAACAGATCCTTGCGGAGTTCTGTTATTAGTGACAAACCTTACGTACTCGCTTGTAGTTTGTTATGTGGTTAGTTAGCAGACTAGTTACTGAATTATTCTTACCATAGTATCCCTTTTAGTAATATTAATATTATTAAGCATCAAAGTTATTGTGTAAGATTTGAGGTTTTCACAGCGGTGAGTATGAAGATTTTTGTCTTCTGGGTTGTCGCGCCGTGTAGTAATATTCATCGCCCTGATGACGGAGGCAGTATGACCTCTGAAACGTTGGTTAACATCGACCAGACTACACGGCGCAACAACCCAGAAGACAGAAATCTTCGTCAAAGTTATTGTTACAGAAGCTTTATGAAAGCACATTGACGGAAGTTAAATCTTATGAGAACCAGCCGAATATAAATAGTTATAATGAATTTCATGTGTTGTGATTAGAAACCACATCCAGAGGGGGAGAAGCTGGCACAGAATTTTGTAGATCTCCTTTGCGGTAGTGAAACTGTTTGATAAATGAAACTCAAGTCATGAAGTTCTGTTTTAATTGTGACGAAAACTAGCAACTCTCAAAACTACGCAGAGGCGGACAGCTCTGCGTCTGCGCGGAGGCATAGCTGATGATGGATCAGAAACACAAAACTCCAAGCCATATTTTATCGGGGTTAGTGCTGCAAATTGAAGAAATGATAATTCTTGTTATAGACAACAGAATATAACATATGACAACATGATTTCTGAGAAAAGAACAAAATGCAGGGATTAGCCTGTCGTTTTCATGAAAATAACGACTTCAGAGTTCAAAAGCGTTGATGAGTAGCGTGAGAAATGTGACAAGCCCTTAAGTGATGATGAATTATCTGAAGATGATGAGTGAAGTAAGATGATCGATCATTATTCCAGCACCCAGCAGTGGTAATTGATGAATCATGTGAATTTGTAGCTAGATATGGAACAATCAGCTTCTGCAGACGTAATGAACAAAAAGAGGACGACAACTTACGCTGGCCACCGGATTCACATCTTTGCTGGAGAGACTTATGTTGTCTCCATATTCACCACTGATTTCTGAAGTTGTGTCAAATGCTGTAGGCCCCTACATAAGGACAAAGAACTATTATATAAAATACCTGCAAAAATTTGAGAAGGGAAACCCCCACAAAACTGCTGTATAAGAAAATATTACTAAAAATAAACCTTCGAGAAATCACATTATTTACTCAAATTATCTTATTTACTGAAATACAATTTCAAAGATAGTGTTTAAGACATAAAGTTCCACGAAAACCTTAAATCTGTACTCTGTAGATGGAGGTTATATATTCTTCTGAAACAGTGGTAACCAACCACATTCCGATTACATGTTATTCACTCCAGAGATCCAGATACGAACAATATCTGCTGAAAATTGCAATTAACATTTTCAAGAGTAAAAATAACTTACCTCTTCAGGTTTTGGCGGACCCATGATTTCCAGCATGTAACTGCTTCGTCGTCGCTTTCCGTGGTTTTGTAACTTGCTTAGCTTCAGGAACACGTCTTCGAGAGTGTCGCACATGTGAGTCATCAGCAACTGGTCAGGGGGCTCTTCAGCAAGGAATTTGCCACCTCTCATTAGACCAATCTGCACATTACCACGAGACAACAGTAATTACGCACTGATCCTCCTTCCACGACAGAAAACAATTATTTTTTGCACATTAGAGACCAACATTTCTTTCATAAAAATTACAATAATATGTAATTTCCTATTATTTTTTTTGTTTGTCCCACTATACGCCATGTAGGCGCTTGGGGTGAGTGGAGGTATAGCTCCTCTCTTCCTTGACCTCGGCACTAGATGGGGGTGAGTGGTCAGCATCACGCCCCGACCGGCTTTACCCCCGGGAAAGGACCCCGGTACCCATTGTAGAGGAGGCTGGGTGGGCCCCAGAGGCTAGAGGAAAAATCCTCTGCCCCCGTCGGGGATCGAACCCCGGTCGTCCCGCCCGTAGCTAGTCACCATACTGACTGAGCTATCCCGGCTCATAATTTCATATTATACGAATTTTAAATGAAAATATCATGACAGTAAGCATGGGGTTTCATAGTTTTTACATTACGGACCGAAATTATTGCACAGACAAGGGATAGAACCTGGACCTGATGGTGGCGAAGCCGAGTATCTTGCACTTACCATGTCCGCCTGTCGGGTTTCATCAATATAATGGGTGGTGATGATGACTGTCGTCCTTTTATTCTTCGACAAATCTAGTAGGTATTCCCATATACTGGATGAAACAAAGAGAATATAATTCAACAGCAATTATGATCTACAGAATTCAATAAATTTTACGAGCAGCGTAGTGAAGACGAGCTAGGAAAATGCAAATTCAACTCAACTTACTTCTGTCTGAGCACTGGATCAACACCAACTGTTGGCTCATCGAGAATGAGAAGTTCTGGACTGTGCACCATAGCTGCAGCAAACGAGACTCGTCTCTGTTGCCCGCCACTGACATACAAAAACACAAAGTTGTAAGATCTAAGATGCTGATTTCGGTTTTAAGCGGCCCATCCACGTACGAGTCCGACTCGGGTCGGGATCCATCGAGCCAGACTCGTTTGTGGGTGGGGTGTCACGAGCCGAGTCTGCTATGCACGTGTGGTGAAATATATCCGAGCCCGGCTCACGAGTCAAGCTCGCCGAGCCAAGCTCGCCGAGCCAGACTCGTACGTGGATGGGACGCTTTATGGATTGTGACACCACGTGGTCTTGTATGTGATTAACGATGTTTCCAAGATTCACTATAAATAAGGCTTTACAAAAAGTATTGTCTTTTGGGACATTGCATCGTGATGGTAGACGTTTATCAACATTTTAGAGGTTATTACTTCCTCCGACTCTGAAGCAATTATCAATTACGGAGATTATTTCTTCAGAGCTTTGTAGAAAGGGTTAAAGACAATAGACATTACATTTGACTTAAACCCTTCTTACTAAGAATGGAAGATTTATTATATGGAATTATTCCTGTAAAAAGCAAATAGGTCAGTAGTTATATTCACCATCATCACTGGCAAATATTATCTAATGTCTTTTCAATCAGTAACTCCTACGTTCTTAGGTTAATTATCGTAATTTTTGTCTTAAAGGAATACTTTTCCTGAATGGTAAACCAAAACAAGTAACATGGCTACAAATCGAGGAAAAACATTTATCACGAACCAAACCTTTCTTCCATTCCTTATATTAAAACGTGTTTTATAATTTCAAATTCTTGTCCAAAAATTAGACAAAATGTGCAAAAAAAAAAATAACTGCTAATTTTCTATATATCACAAAATCCTTTATGGTAGAAAATTATAAACATCTCACTACAATCTAACCTCAGATTTTTGACGAAAGAATTTGCTGATGGAAGTTGAAGGAACTTCAACAAAAAATCCATCTTCTCATAAATTTCTTCAGTACTCATTCCGTTGACCCATCCAAAGTACATGAAAGTTTCTCGTATGGTGAACTCAACATACAAAGAAAGGTCCTGTGTAACAGAGAACAGAGACTGTAAAGTAAACAAGTCTGCAACATATACATCGTTTTCCAAACACATTCTTCACCTCAGAGCCCTTTATGTTAACTCCTTACACAAACAAATCTGTTATTGCAAAGCTAATTACCGTACAAGTATCAGAAATCTCTTATCATTATACTTACTAATATTTACCATAAGAAAACATTTTTATAAATAAATCTTCAATATCAAAGTATTCCATTCTCCAGTACTCATTTAATTTCATATTTACAGTAAAATAATTTTGTAAGTTCATTCTATACATGGACCACTCTTTCAAAATATCTTGACATAATAAAATTAATGTCACCTGATCCAACTATCAAAATAGAAAACTAGAAATGTGGGGTAGAAAATGAGTTTCGAATAATATGGAACCTATTATCTTCATGCAAAGTTTGGCACTGAAGAAAAATTCTCAGATGCACAAACATACCTGAGGCATATATCCTATCCTTGGACCAGGCACACCACTGCCTTTAGAGCCTGGTTTGCCACCCAGGACCCAGATATCGCCAGAGTTAAGTTTGCGTCGACCCACGATGCAACTGAGCAATGTCGTCTTCCCACAGCCACTGGCTCCCAGCAGACCATATCTACAGGTAACAGGAACAAGTTCAGGATTGTGGTTGTACCCCCTTCTAGTGCCGAGGTCAAGAAATACCTCAGCTCTCCCCAAGCGCCGACATGGCGTATAGTGGGACAGCTTTAATTGCTTTACTTTTGAAATACATAATTATATACAATGAAAATGACAGAAAACTAAAAAAAAGATTAAACATAATTAATTTGGTTCAATAAATATTTCATTTTGATTTTATTAGCAGTCGTATGTTACAAGAAATATTAATACAAACACATCATTTTCCATCTGCCATAATCCCAGCTACGTAAGATGGAAAAATTTAAAAAAAAAAAAGAGCTTCATAGAACTGAAGAACAGAACTTTTTTACACGTGTCTGTCAATATGTGAGCAATAGAATAAATAATAAAGTCAGCTAATACGTTAGTATCCACGGACTTCCCAAGATTTACACATTCTCAAGGTTAACTTTGTGTTCGATGCATCTTACCTCAAACATACGCAACTGGACTTCAACATTTTGAAATGGGACATGAATCAGGAGTACGTCATGCACCAGGAGAGAGAATTACAGTGCCAACATTAAATAACATCCTGCGATTATCAAAATAATCTGTGAGAAGAAATAATACCTCAGACAACCTCCGATATCTGGGCGTAGATACAGATGTTGGTCTTTTGAATCGTGACACTCTGTGGTCTGATAGGAAGTTATTCGCGTTTCAGAGGACCGTACAGTCTCCATCTTCAGGACAGCAACCATTTCTCCTAAACTTTTATAACCACCTATAAGGCCACAAGACGTCATAACCCAGAAAACCAACATCGACGTTTGTAAATGCAAGGCAATGCTACACTGAGGTGTTGTCTAAAAGGAGTGTTTCGTCCGTCTGTCTCCAACTTTTAAGGCCAAATATGGAGACTCCTAAACGTTTACGTCTGCGGGCGATTCTGCACGGCGCCAAAGCCCAGGAGATCATAATCATCACCTCAGTGAGAACCTCAAATCTTACTTCAACGAACAGGCTTTGGAAACACTTATATTAATAGAACTCACATGGCCCCTTTTTGCACGGTCATGTTTAGCCCATCCAGAACGACGTGTGGTATCTTTCTTGTGCCATAATGCTTGAAAGCTCGCCGAA